CCATTAGCCTTAAATATACGAAAAGCAGCGGCTTCATTTTGCAAAATACGTTGATTGGTTTACCATTCAGAGACAGATCACCGTTCACACAAAGAAGCCTTCTCGCGACTGACCATTTAAAAGCAAGAACTATATTTCTTGCGCATGCGGCAGTGCAGTAACGCAACAGGGAACTTACAACCCTCCAAATTGTACTTTCCTAAGTTAATTCGAAGTCCAAATAGATACAAATATAAATTTGCGCCAAAACGCTATACAGTAAAGTATTTGTTTTAAATAAAAATCAATATAGAGTTCCGTGGATCTTAACCACTCGTGCACAGGATTCCCTCTGTTGAATAAAATCTTCAGCATTAGACAAATTAAATATCAAGACTGGCGTCCCCGTAGTGAAGGGGTTAGGGCTGGAGTGTTAAATAAGGGACGACTCTGGGACGAAGAAAGTATTAAAAAAAATGGCCAGTCTCATCGGGGTTCAAGAGACTCTTTGTAATACTGGAATTGACGAGAAATTAACGGGGGAGCGGGGACACCTACCTGGTTTTCTACAATTTCCCACTGAAAGTTTGAAGCTTAGAACCAGCTTAGTTTTCTCGTTAACTAACTTGACGAATCATTACAGTAAAGGTGATCGGTGGTGGTGATAAGGGGTGGGTGTGAGGGTGTTGGTGGTGATAAGGGGTGGGTGTGAGGGTGTTGAGTATTGATAAGGGTGGGTGTGAGGGTGGTGGTGAGTGATAAAGGGGTGGAATGTGTGAGGTGTTGGTGGTGATAAGGGGTGGGTGTGAGGTGGTGGTGGTGATAAGGGTGGGTGTGAGGGTGGTGGTGATAAGGGTGGGTGTGGGGTGTTGGTGTGATAAGGTTGGGTGTGAGGTGGTGGTGGTGTGGGGTGGGTGTGAGGGTGGTGTGCAACTTGGTGGTGTGGTGTTGGGATGGATTTGTAATGGTGGTGGAAGGATGCTGGTGGTGACAGTGAGGGAGGTGGAGAGGATGAATTGGTAATGATGAAGGTGGTGGTAGTGGGGGTAGGTTAGGTGGTGCTCAACAAATGGGCCAGGTGGTACAAGAGGTGGGCCAGGTGGTACAAGAGGTGGGCCAGGTGGTACAAGAGGTGGGCCAGCTGGTACAAGAGGTGGGCCAGCTGGTACAAGAGGTGGGCCAGCTGGTACACCACTAAACAAGCTTCCGGAGTTCTCACACAAATTTTCCCTCAGCGTGTCTCCTCGTTAACACTGGGGTGGGGTGGGTGGGGTGGGAGGTGGGGGATGAGATTGGGGTGGGGTGGTGTGTGTGGGGAAGAGGTGGGAAAACAGTGCGGTAAAAATTCAATATAAATTGTCGATGTACAGAAGAGCTTCTGAAGAGTTTGATATACACGTTATAACATTGTATATACTTAATAAAACAACCGGGATGGATGAGCCAGCAAGGCCCTATTTTACTAAACACCAGGTCAGCTTCCCCACCCCGGGTGTTCTGGAGTCATCATGCCAGGGTAATGAGGGGCAGAGGTCATGGAGAGCTTAGGGTTGGGTTATGTTATCACCAGTTGGTTTGGGTTAGGTGGAATTAGGTTGGGTTAGATCAGCTCCAGTTAATTAAGGCTGGATTGGATTAGCTCCGATTAGTTTCAGTTAGATCAGGTCAGGTCAGGTCAGGTCAGGTTAGATCAGGTCAAGTCAGGTTAGATCAGGTCAGGTTAGGTTAAAAGATATTGTCGTAATTTAGGTAATTAATGATACTAATAACCTTAAATGAGCTGCGGTAGTACATCTATTCGTTGGTTCACTCACTCACTCATTCACTGACGGAGAAAAAACATCATCTACTTTTACTCGTTTTCTCCAAGATTAAAAAACCCAACAACAGTGAAATGTGTTGTAGGAATAAGGAACTTGGGGTGATGACGGACAGCCTAACTCTGCTGTTGAATCTTGGGACTTTAACTAGGAAGTGTTTTAATCCTTTCTTCAACCCCCCCTCCCTCCTCCAAGTCCGCTCCCCCCTCCTCCAGGTCCCCTCCCCCTCCTCCAGGTCCCCCTCTCCTCCCCTCCCCCTCCTCCAGGTCCCCTCCCCTCCTCCAGGTCCCCTCCCCCTCCTCCAGGTCCCCCCCTCCAGGTCCCCTTCCCCTTGAATCATTCCCGTTGGTGTGTCATGCTTCACCCACCTCCAGTAGTGTGTTACCCGAGTGTCACTAACAAGGTGCTGAAGGTGTGCTGGTTTGAGTATCAGCGAGTTGTCAACACGAAGGATTACACAAGTAGTAATGAATTTTAACCAGTCTTAGTGTGTGTGTGTGTGTGTGTGTGTGTGTGTGTGTGCGTCAGCCCTGTACACTTTTGACACTTTGGACTTTGTTGTGATGCGGGGAAGCACTTAACCACTTTTTCTGCCAGCCTTGTGAACCTCCTGCTGTTGCCTGAAGCATAATTCAACCATAATGATCCAATTACTGGTTAAGTAGCCCTAAACTGTCCTTGTTGGCAGTTATGTCTTGTAAACTGTGAAAGAATTATCATAACAGCCAACAAACTGGTTCCCAGGATATGGTGGAATTGCTGGTGCCCTCGTGGTAGTGATGGGACGAGTGCTTCACGTGCTCCCGGGAACTCTTGAAGGATTAACCTAACCTAGCCTAACCCAACATGTCCCTAACGTAACCTAACATGTCCTTAACCTAACCTAACCCAACATGTCCCTAACGTAACCTAACATATCCTTAACCTAACCTAACCTAACCCAACATGTCCCTAACGTAACCTAACATGTCCTTAACCTAACCTAACCCAACATGTCCCTAACGTAACCTAACATGTCCTTAACCTAACCTAACCTAACCCAACATGTCCCTAACGTAACCTAACATGTCCTTAACCTAACCTAACCCAACATGTCCCTAACGTAACCTAACATGTCCTTAACCTAACCTAACCCAACATGTCCCTAACGTAACCTAACATGTCCTTAACCTAACCTAACCCCCCAAAAACTAGCTTCTATGTAAAATTGGTAGATATTTCCATGGAATATTTAAAGTAGTTATATACTGTTAAATTAAGGCAGGTTGGATGATTAGGATAGGTAGATTAGGTTAACTTAGGTAATTAGGTTAGGTTAGGTTAATTTGGTTAGGGTAATTGGGTTAGTTTAGGTTAGATTAGCGTGAGGAGATAAGGTAATTAAGGAGAGTTAAACAAGGTAATTAAATCATGAAAAATGTTAATTCTCGCCATTATACTGCTGCCTCTTTCAGGGCCTCCACTTACACCATCCACTTTCTCCTCCTCCTTCATCACCGCTTCTTCTTCTTCCTCCTCCATCACCTCTTCTTCTTCCTCCTCCTCCATCACCTCTTCTTCCTCCTCCCCCTCCTCTTCTTCTTCCTCCTCCTCTCCCACCACCACTCTTCCTCCTCCACCTCTTCCTCCACATCCAATTCTCTTCCTCCACCCTCCTCCACCCTACTTCTTCCTTGTCCTTCTCTTCTTCCTCCTTCCCCTCCTCCATCCCCACATCTCTTCCTCCTCCCCTCCTCCATCACCACCATCTCTTCCTCTACACCTTCCCCCCTTCCTCCATCTCCTTCCTCCTACCATGTCCTCTTCCTCCTCCTCCTCCATGACCACCATCTATTCCTCCACCCCTTCCCCCTTCCTCCTCCCCTCCTTCATACTTACCATCTCTACCCTCCCTCCCCCCCTCTCCATCACCACCATCTCCTTCCCTCCTCCCCCTCTCACATGACCACCATCTCTTCTCCACCCCCTTCCACACAGCCTCCTCCCCTCCTTCCACCACCCACCATAGCAGTCGCAGTATATCTCAACCTCCACCACCACCACCACCAAAACATTTTATGGTACTTGAGAACTACTTTACATGTCGACCCTCGTAGCTAGAGCGTTGTGTATGCATTACGACCAGTTTAGTGATCCCGAGGGACAAATTGGTGTAAGTTTCGTGATCCCGAGGGACAAATTGATGTTGGTAAACGTAAGCACTATTTAATTCCACGGATTATAACAACACAGTAATGTAGTTATGGACGAAATTATCCCAGATTATTATTTTTTTTTAGAGGCAATATCTGTTGTTTATTGGATGGTTAGATATGGCGATTAGAATTTGGATATTTTTGTTTATTTGTACCTGTGTTTGTACCTGTACCTGTACCTGTGGCTGTGTGTGTGTGTGTGTGTGTGTGTGTGTGTGTGTGTGTGTGTGTGTGTGTGTGTGTGTGTTAAGTGAGTCACATACCTCCACATTGACTCTCTATGGCTCCTTAACAAAGGGTGAGGCCACGACTGCTGATGAGCAGGGAAAGAGGAAGAAGGGGAGGAAAAAAGAAGGAGGAAGAAGGGCAGGAGACGTAAAGGATGTAACCATGACTACTGATGGTGTGGTGGGGAGAGAGTGAGGAGGAGAAAGAAAGAAAGGACAAAGGAAGGGGAAGTAGAAACCCGAGGGAAGATGATTTAAGCAGGTGTGCAGGTAAACACACTCACACAGGACATATGGTTGGTGAGATACATGGTGTATATAAGCAACAAATGGCAAGGTAGGAAAGAGAAGAAGAGAAAAAAGGTAGAGGAGAGAAGAAGAGGAGAGGAAGAGGAAGAAGACAAGAGGGAGGAAGGAACAATACAGTTCATCACGCTATTAGAGGAGATTCATTACGGCAGAGTTCACGACCATCAACAAATTTCAAGTGATTCACCCAAGAAGACCCTGTCGTGTGTGTGTGTGTGTGTGTGTGTTATGTGTGTGTGTGTGTGTGTGTGTGTGTGTGTGTGTGTGTGTGTGTGTGTGTGGTTTATGTATGTGTGTGTGTGTGTGTGTGTGTGTGTGTGTGTTTATGTGTGTGTGTGTGTGTGTGTGTGTGTGTGTGTGTGTGTGTGTGTGTGTGTGTGTGTGTGCATGTGTGTGTGTGTGTGTGTGTGTGTTTTCCAGTGTGTATGTATGTAACAGAGATATATAAACAAATCTATGTATTCTTGCAGGTTGGTGGATCGTCGGACTGGCAGCGGCGTATAGGAAGTATCGTCCGGACCAGCCAAAACATTTCGCCTCCTCTGAATAAATGAAAGAAGAATTACATAGTCTAGGCTGACATAACACAACGAATGACACGTAGTGATATAATAATGGTTTCCTAAGAAGAAGAAGAAGAAGAAGGAGAAGAAGAAGAAGAAGAAGAAGAAGAAGAAGAAGAAGAAGAAGGAACAACTATAACGAAACACACAAGATTCTCCAACACCACAATGACCATCCAGGAGTTAAGAGTCATCGTCCATCTGGCATCTACAAACTCGGCGCTAAACAACTGACTTAACGACCCTTATTGCGGCGCTAAACAACTGATTTAACGACCCTTACTGCGGCGCTAAACAACTGACTTAACGACCCTTACCGCGCCGCTAAACAACTGACTAACGACCATTACAGCGGCGCTAAACAACTGACTTAACGACCCTTACTGTGGCGCTAAACAACTGACTTAACGACCCTTACGGCGCTAAACAACTGCGGCGCTAAACAACTGACTTAACGACCCTTATTGCGCCGCTAAACAACTGACTAACGACCATTACAGCGGCGCTAAACAACTGACTTAACGACCCTTACTGAGGCGCTAAACAACTGACTTAACGACCCTCCTTACTGCGGCGCTAAACAACTGACTTAACGACCCTCCTTACTGCGCGCTAAACAACTGACTTAACGACCTTTACTGGCGCTAAACAACTGACTTAACGACCCTCCTTATTGCGGCGCTAAACAACTGACTAACGACCCTCCTTACCGCGCCGCCAAACAACTGACTTAACGACCCTTACTGAGGCGCCAAACAACTGACTTAACGACCCTTACTGAGGCGCTAAACAACTGACTTAACGACACTTACTGTGGTGCTAAACAACTGACTAACGACCCTCACTGTGGCGCTAAACAACTGACTAACGACCATTATTGCGCAGTAATTATCAGGTGCCGCCAGTAATCAACAAGCACCCTGGAGGAAGCACTTTATATGCTGATTCACCGAGACAAAAAAACGTAAAATTAGAGAAGAAAGATTAAGAAAACTCGTGAGAGAGAGAGAGAGAGAGAGAGAGAGAGAGAGAGAGCCTACCGTACCTGAAAAACTAACCAGGTAAAAAAAATCAATTCAGCTTAATTACCCCCTCCACCCGACTGTAATTACCTCGTTGTCAGTAATTACCCCAAGCGAGGTTAAGGAACTCTTTTTTAATTGGATTTATCTGGAGAAAACAGAGAGAGAGTGAGAGAGAGAGCGTAAATTACCTGTGTATTTCGCTCGTTAATGAAACAGGTGTTATAGAGGTGTGAAGAGAACGCCGAACGATGTTGTAAAAATAACCACGGACGGGCATAGGACGTGAGAACTAGTTGAGACAGCGAAAGTTTTGTCAGCGGGAAAGTTAAGGATTTTTTTTTAGTAGTTTGTAATAAATGGTTGTAAACGTCTGAGAGGTGTAGATAGTTTTAAGACAATTTGGATTAAAGTTTTAGATGGTGAGGAGTGACTGACTGACTGACTGGAGAGTGACTGACTGGAGAGTGACTGACTGGCTGGCCTCAACCGTCTTATAAGGGAGGGAAGTGACTAACTGGCCGAATTTCACCAGTTTAAGAGGATTAACGATTTCATTCACCAGTTTAACGTAAATAATATCAATTACTTCTACATCACATTAACAGGATTATATTTTAACTGACGGTCTTAACTTAATATTAACAAAATAGTTGAATTAATGTTAACGTTAAATATCAACGGAATTAGTTAAATGTCTTCTCGTTTAACGTTAACAAAAACAACGATAAGGTTTAACGTAACGAGAGTAATTTAACAAAGAAAATTTAACGAGTATTCTAATTTAACCATAACCAGATTACTGAATTCATTTTCCGATTTTAACACGACAAAAATTAACGAGTTTGCCAGAAGGTTAACGAATTCATCCAACGGCACGATTAACTAGCAACAAAGTTCACTGTTAACAATATTACTAAAAGAACGCAAAACAAATTCCTTTAGTTAAAACAGAAACAAAATCAAGGTAAAAAGAAACACGTCAATACAGCATTAAGAAAGAATTAAATGCTGAGGATGAATATAAGTCGTAGAACTGGTCAAGAATTAGTTAACTCTTTCAAGAATTAAACCCGACTTGGCTAGTAATTGAATCAACAAACACCGGAGTTGAGAAGAATTTGACATGATAGAATTAACAGCGAAAGGTAATTAATAAAAAGTAAATAATAAATAATAATAATAAAACAGATATAACGGTAATAATAACAGAAACGGAATAAGCGTTTAACATTACTAACAAACAGAAACTAACGGCAGGACCATTTAAGCCCTCTGCCAGTAAGGGCATTCAAACCTCGCCAGGCGCTCCGTGTTACTCAGCCACAACGATCAACCATTAACAAAACAACGACAGACGTTTCTTCGCCAGGCCTTCCCTCCGCCAGCGATACTGTTTAAGCTGAGAAGGTCAGGTCGACTACCACAGCTGCCAAACACAACACACCAGTCGTCTCCAGCAACATGTCGGGCAAGACGGTGGACTGGAGCCGCTTCGGGTTGGCGTCTGATGCCGACCAACACGCCTCAGAGACCACACGCCTCAAAGATCCCGCCCTAGAGGAAGGTTACTACGGCGGCCAAGACGCTGAACTCTTCGCCGAGGAGAAGGTAAGGGGCGAGTGAGGGTGAGGGGCGAGTGAGGGTGAGGGACGAGTGAGGGAGAAGGACGAGTGACGGAGGGGGAGAGGGAGGAGGGGGATCGGAGGAGGTAGTCAATGTTTTATGTTGGGTGAAGCTGAACACATCATACCATGTTGACCTCACCACCACGACCCTCACCATCACCAAAATACCATAACCTACTACTGCCACTGTAAACAACCATGACCACAATTACCAACCACGAACACCATCACATCTACCACCAATACACAACAACCACAATCACACTACCACCACTACCACCATGTTTCGACTACAGTGAGGGTCGTAGGGGTCTCTCCGGTATAAGCCATTAATCACCTTCTAAATGCCTCACTGCAATGACACACACACACCTGTAACTTTTCATTTAGTTTCCATAGTAACCCAGCGATCTTGCACGGCAGGTTAGATTGCCATACTAACCCCTTTACGTTCGTCATTCTAAGGTTTTTTTCACGCTGCTTGTTGCCATCCTGAAAGACTTAGCCGTTCGTAACTTGCCATATCCCTTTAGATCTTTTCCCCCGCCTCTTGCCACATTCAGACCTTCTCGTCCTCCTGTTGCCATATTAAGGTCCTGTCTTCCGCACCCTTGCCATACCAAGACCTTTTCGTTTGCCATCTTCCCACACACACACACTTACATTCATCCAAGTCGCCATACTAATCCGGACATTCTTACCATCGTACCTTATGCCATCTTACTATTGTCATACTAATTGTCATACACACATGGGCGGCCGACAGGGGGACGTGCCGTGGTGGAAGAGCACATTCTTCGTCAGCGAGCGAGTGCTGTTTGGGACGTGGGACGGCGTCTTCACCTCCTGCCTCGTCAACCTGCTGGGGGTCATCGTCTTCCTCAGGGCGGGTTGGGTCGTAGGGGAGGCTGGTGTACCCCTGGCGGCTCTGGTGGTCATCGTCTCCGGTAAGTGATGAGAGAGAGAGAGAGAGAGAGAGAGTTGTGTGTTTACCCCTCAGTAATCTCGGTCGCAGATGTCCACCTAACAGTATTGTGTTCGTTCCTATCAGGGTGAAGAAATAATGTCTCTTGTCTTAACCTCTTTACTGAGAAGACCTGACCCCCAGCCACCGTCTGCCATCACCAGTAGCCTCCACACCACCACCCTACAATGTCATCACCACAATCACTTCTCTAGCAGCATTAACACCACTACCACCATTATTACCACTGCTATTACTACCACCTCAATCATCTCTCCAGCATCGCCACTACTACAATCATTAACATAACCACTACCACCACCTCCTCCCCAGTATCATCATCATCACTACCGTCATTATTTCTATGACCACTACCACCACCAACCACCACTCCAGCATCACCACTAACATTATTACTATCACCACAATCACCTCTCCACCACTACCATCCCTACTACCACAATCACTTCACCAGCATCATCACCGCCACCAACTACCTCCCTACACACCTTAACGACATTTCATTAAACTCGTTACAGTACAATTACCTGCCAGGTGGTGACAGCCTCAGGTGGCTCGGCTGAAACTGGTTTAATAAAGCTTTACATCATTATACTACTGACTGCGTGTGTGTGTGTGTGTGTGTGTGTGTGTGTGTGTGTGTGTGTGTGTGTGTGTGTGTGTGTGTGTGTGTGTGTGTAACCAGAGGCGTTGTTATGTATTGTGAGATTAAGGTGTGTATTAAAGTGGTGGCCCTCACACACACACACAGGTAGAGACAGTTAACAGCGATGTGTTTACAGTGGTGGTGGTGCTGACGTCCGTGGTATCAGCAGTAGGGATCTGTGAGCGCACGAGGATGGAGAGTGGCGGCATATATTTCCTCATCTCTCACGTCTTGGGCTCTCAGGTGGGCGGATCCGTCGGCCTCGTCTATTGCTTCGGGCAGGTAAGACACTCCGCTACACAGACAGACATCTACTCTCCTTACCATAAACATCAACTCCTAGCGGGTCCCAACAATGTTCTTATTACTAGAGTACAAATAACTGAGTACATTTAACCAAGCCTAACTTTATATAAGTATCTAAACAAACCAGACTTAACCTCAGCGTTAACACTAATGTAAATTTTGACATTGTTCTCTCAGTTTAGGCTCTTGATATGAATATGCACGGAGCTATACCACACACGGTCTTGTTGGCTGAGTCTGTGTCAATGTGTTGATGTTGTAGACTAGATGTTATGTACATACTAATTTGAAAGAACAATTTAGTTGACGTGTGTTAACCTGTGTAGTTATCACAGGATATGAGTTCACTATTCCCCTCAGTAAAATATACAACTTTTGTAGTGGTTATATACATGTTCGTCCGTCTTGTTGTTGCAGCATTTATCTTATTGTAGCATTTAGGTTAACGCTATAGACGTTCTGGTTATGTCCTGTGTGTGTCAAAAACTGTCAGACGCAGTGTTGAGCGGTGAAGCGTGTGTGTGTTCCGCAGACTTAACTAGGCCTTTACAGTGTTTACTAATTCCTATATACAGAACTGGGAGTGAATGACTAAAACATCATTATTTCTTTAGTTAGGAAGTTGTTTGTCTATTCTTACACATCATACTGAACACGCTCTCTGATACTCTAGTTACGAATCATTGGACAGTAACATCTCTCCGTACCTAACATTTCGCTATGCTCACACTGTATGTGCAGTAGTCTACAATAGATGGGAAATAATTTTCATCACTGAAGACACCAAACCTAATCATTTATAAAATAAAATTAAAATTAAATAAATACATAATACTACAGAATTATGAGACAAATCAATTAATCTTTCGGTTTAGAGTATTTCGTTGTGCTGTGCGAGGTATGATTGGCGCGTCCACTAGTGCATATTTAGCATTAAATATTAAATGCTTGTCATCTGTGTCCGTTTACACCGTTAATTCCGCTGGCTTTAGCAGCACGCTTACAGGAAATACGATGTTGACCGGATGTGCAATTATTTACTCGGAAAAATACTTCAGTTATACGCAGCTTCATCTCTTTAATTATATATTGACGTCACCATAATAAAATGATCGCCAAGAATAGAATGTTCAGTATTATAACGAAAATACATGTTTAGTTCTAATTTACTATTTCTTGTTAATGTTCTTTTTATTGTCACTTCTACTTTGTCATCAATATCATTACCGCCTGTACCAGTGTTAATATCCACATCGTGCTGCTTAAGCAAGATAGTTCGTAAATATTTTGTTCGTAAAACAAGTAGGAGTTATTTTTTCTTGTTCATTCAATAAAGTATTTTATCCTTTTTAGAAACGATGGAAAGATATTAGTGATCTTTTTTTTTTACTGAAAACTCATCAAAGACACATGGAAAAAATTACGAATTTTTTTTAGTTGAACGCGGCCGTCGGGAGGTTTTTGACATTTGTTGGAAATGTATTCAGCAGTACAAGTTTGGTATCATAGCTCTCAAAAAAATCAACTGTCTCCATTTATTGTTATTTCAATTATCTTTTATTTTTAGTTCCAATATAAGCTGACTGTTATCTTAACTCGAAAACATTCGTAAATGTTGCAGGGTCAGTGTTGTTAGATTAGGTTCATTCACAGAAATAAACTCAGCGAACTGATTTAATTTCGATATCAATTCCAATAATTTGCGGTCACGTACTGTTAGGTTAGGTGATAAAATACGAGAGCTGTTTCCCGCAGAGTTATGTCGACTAACCCCCCGACTACAACAGTAACATTACCAGATTATGTTCAAGTCTTTTAGTAAAGTATAGATATACTACACTCGTGCCAGTATAAATGCCTCTATATAAATCTAAAGGGTCATTAATATATGGGTTCTACATTTGAGTTGTCATGAAAGGCAGCTTATGTTACGGATTTACGGGGTGGAAACGACAGTTCTATGGCAACGAGTCGTGTTATTGTATCTGTAATGGGTAGTAACGACAGACCAAGTTGCCATATACACCAGCATGGCTCAAGAGATACATATATTAAGTTCCTCATTACCAATGTTCGTGATGAAGTTGCCATGAACGACGATTAGTTTCTGGAGCACACATGGCAACGAGTGGTGGAGCTAGATAGTTGAAAGTTGCCATAGACGACGCATAGCAGGTGACACGCAGATCAGATCAGTCAATTAGTAGTAGGCAGCTATTATCATTTAACCTTTAATTACCTCAGTTAAGGTAAGCAAGGACTGTACATGATCTCCAGTTAAGGTAGAGAACCAAGATGTAACTCAGTTTAGGCTTACCTTGCTGTAAGTCTGTACGCGATTCCTTACTCCCCGGCCACCGTTGCTATAACATTATCTCTTCATTTGGTAAATTACTTGCTTATTATCGTTTATCACCACCAGATTCACTTTTAAATCCACCAACTGCGAGTCAACTGACGGCAAAATGCTTGGTAGATCTTTGCACTCGAGTTCGTCGACGACACTAGCTCAGGTAACTGGCGAAAATTGCCATTATCACACCGACAGATATTTTAACCTTCTACTCATCGTTTTTACGAATTTGAAACTACTATTAAAATGTAATAATATTGTTTTTAATATTTTAACAAGAAGACACATACTACGATATTGATAAATCTTCTGAAGACAGAATTCTGCTCAACGCGGCCGTCTTTTGGCAGTGTAGGGAACATGACCGGTCGTCCATCTGTATTAGTTTGGCGTCCAACATCAACATAATTCTCAACTCCTTCTGTTATTGCCGTTTTATTGCAACATATTGTTTTTCACTCGAGGAATTATTTAAATGTGCGTTTTCTTTACGTTGAAATATAGGAGGCAGATACGTTTACATAAAGCCAATAAAATAATTTAATTGCCACGCCTTAACGTATACGTCTGTCTCTTTATACAGTACCTCTATCAGATTATTAATATTCTCGCATGTGTCTATATAACTAACTCAAGGGTAAATAAATAAATGGCATATGACAGTAATCCATTCTTCATCCTCATAACTACCACCACCAACACCATCCTCACCAATTTCTCACTCTCATCCTCATAACTACCACCACCAACACCATCCTCACCAATTTCTCACTCTCATCCTCATAACTATCACCACCACCACCATCCTCACCAGTTTCTGACTCTCCTCTCTCCACAGACGGTCGGCATCTCCCTCTGCGTCACGGGCTTTGGAGAGTCGATGGCTGAGCTGCTTGACCTGCCGTGGGTGTGGGCGGAGAAAGCCATTGGATCTGGGGCGCTGCTGCTGCTGGCACTTATCAACATTGCTGGGGTCAAGTGGGTCATCAAAGTACAGTTCTTGTTGCTGCTGCTGGTCGTTCTCGCTGCCCTTGATTTCGTGTTTGGAAGCTTCCTGGACCACTCTGATAGTGAGTACAGTACAACACTTGGTTACGTGGTAGAGGGAGTGAGATATTGCATATTAGAGAGACAGTGAGAGATGATGTGAAGCAAGACGCAAGAGAAAAAAGAGATATTATGTGAGTAAGAGTGATTGAGACTTAAAACAGTGAAGGTTGGGAGAGTAAGAGTGAGTTAAAAGAGTGAAAGATTAATAACAGCGTTTCACATGACGTCATAGTGTGTTTACTTTTCGAGGCGGCAAGAAAGCACAAAGTCGCTACACAGTTCTCCAACATTGACGTGATTTCTTCTTATTCAACATTATCTTATCCACTCTTCACTATTTTATTTGTCTCTTTATAATAATAATAACAATTATACAGAAAAGTTTGAAAACAGTCACACAAAATCATTAGCGGACATCAGATTGCTGTCTCATCAGCTGGTCTTTGTTGACATCTGAAGGTCGTCATGGCAACCAGACGGCGTGGGAGGGACGCACACGGTCTGTTGTGTAGTCGTATCGTAGTTTAAAAGCCACTGGTTGCATCAATTATTGCAACGGATGAGTTTGGCAAATAACTAAAGAAATTACTTTGAAAAATAAGGAATCTGCTTAAACACCAAGAAAAATAAACTATTTTTTTATAATGAAGATTTAATTAAAACTGATATTCTTAACAATGAAATAAGAGACATACTCAAGTGGCAGTAAGATAAACTTGAAATAATAAAAAACTTCGATGATATCCCAGGAATATTGTACAATGCTGTTCTAAGGTTTCTGTTAACTTATGTGAAAATCTATTCCATTGTAGTTTGTTTCGTTAAGTTAGGTTAGATTGTTTAACGTAGGTTAGATTAGATTATGTTAGGTTAGTATAGGTTAGATTAAAATTAGTTATGTTAGATTAGGTTAGGTTATTTCAATTCTGCCCAACATACTCAGAGGATTGAAATGGTAGGTTACAAAAAATACACAATACTATTCATACTAATACATAAATCCAACCACGGTGATTTATGTATTAATCTAGAGTTTCATCAAGAGAAAAAGAGCAACTCACGGATACAGCTCACCGTCATGCTTGGGTACAAAACCTCACAGTTACAATTATGTGTTTCCTGACGTCTTGTTCTAAGATACATGTTAATAAGATATAGTTAATGGGATTAATCTTGTACTATAGAGACAAGAGAGTCACATGGAGTCAGTCAGTCAGTCAGTCAGTCAAGTCAAATCAGTAGTCTTCGAGAGTGTCAGCAGGTTGTGAGTGTCAGTAAATAGTGGGGGTGTCAGCAAATGGCAAGCAGGTGGGGGGATGTCAGCAAACGACAGCCAGGTGGAGGATGTCAGCAAATGGCAGGCTGGGGGAGTGTCAGCAGGTGGAGGAAAAAAGTCATCAGGAAGTTGTGGTTGTGGAAATTATCAGCAGGTGATGGTGTAAGTGGTAGTGCAGGTGGTGACGCAGGTGGTAGTGGTGCAGGTGGTGACGCAGGTGGTAGTGGTGCAGGGGGTGATGGTAGAGAGCGTCTCACTTAGTATAGGAGCCACAATCCGCCATGGTGATTCTGGGATGAGGTTCAAACGAGCCCTGTTCACCCATCTGTGACAACTTCTGAACCACATCCATACCTTGTGTGACCTGACCCACCACACGACCTGACCTGTAGGTGAGGGATGGGTAGGGGTGATGGGTTAGAAAGAGAGAGGGGGGGATAGAGGAAGAGAGGGATAGAGGGAGGGAGGGATAGACAGAGGGAGGATACGAGCAGATCTACTTGGGGGTTATCAAAGGTGTCAAAATATTCAACAACTTACTACTACTTAATACATTACTGGTGTCATCTAATACAAATAATCAACTCTTGGGGAAAAAAACTAAAAATATGTTTACGAACGATAGGAGAGAAAGACAGAGAGACAGAGATAGAGAGGGATAAAGATGAATAAATATGATATGAAGAGAAAGAATAATAATAAGAGGGACAGAAAAACATAGAGATTGAAAGGGATAAAGATGACGATACAGACAGAGAGAGAGGAAGAAAATGAGAGAAAAACGGAGAGATGAATAGAGATAAAAGACAGGTAAACAGAAAAAGGTAAGACAGAGAGAGAGAATGACAGACAGAAACAGTGACAGAAAATGAGAGACAGAAACAAACAGAGACAGACACTCACCTGATGAAACTATCACTAAGACAGATCTTAAACTGTGGCCCTAATGTCCAACTCCAGGTATATCGGTCAGGGTCTAAGTGCAGGTCTGAGGCCACGGCCACCACCGTCCCCCGCACGTCCCCCTGCTTCAATTCCTGCTGGGGGAGACACCTGATTACTGAGAGGCACCTGGATACTGAGAGGCACCTGATTACTAAGAGGCACCTGGTTACTGAGAGAGGCAGCAATACTGTAGGTTGAGCTTCTTGTATCTCTGGCAATAAGGTGGTACAGTATAAGGTATTTATTATAAGGAGATATTGTGGGACGTAAGCTGTGGTCCCCTGTGAATCTGTACCTTTAAAGTACAGTCCCTTCACTTGTGCATTTACAGGGGCTCATCACAGTCCCCTTCACTTGTGCGTTTACAGGGGCTCATCAGCCCCCTTCACTAGTGCGTTTACAGGGGCTCGTCATATAAACATTCCACTAATCATTATTTTTGAGATATTTGTTTTAATATTGTTTTAATTTGATTACATTGTATGTTTAGTATTGAGAGTTTCCTTCTGTCGAATGTAAACAAACACAGCGCTGCCACACTGCACAAAATCTGACGAGTCTCTGTAAACACACAAGTGAATGAGGCTGTACATAATGTTAACCCAAACTAACTACTGTACCTGTAGGCTGTAACTCTCCCACCGGCCAACGTCACATATTTGGTTACGAATTAAATATTTTAGTTTAATCAAGGGAACGAGAGCGAAGGAGGGGAGTGACGGCGAAGGGGAGAGGTAAAGAGAGAGAGAGAGAGAGAGAGAGAGAGAGAGAGAGAGAGAGAGAGAGAGAGAGAGAGAGACCAGAGGGAAACAACAGTAAGGTGATCCAGGAATGTCACTTTCACCGTCCAATTAAACACGATCCTCGAGGTAGTGTCGTTTTTGTCGTCCCTGTGAGTCTTGCAGGATATGTTCTAGTCGTGTAGTCAAAGGTGAAGACGACAAGAATCAATACGACAACAATCAGGTCACAAACAACACACACACACACCGTCATGGAACGCAAGTCTGTGTCGAGGAGTATTGTGTTATGGTGTGGATGGGACCCTTCGAAGACACCCCGGCATCGACTCCCATTGTAAATCGACGGGAGAAAACTCTTCCTGGTGGCCGGGTATGTCTTTCCTAGTACCAGCCAGTGCCTACGTCTTCATACATACATATATAGATACATACATACACACATACATAAGCAAATCCACACACACACACACACTCGGTTTTTTTATTCATATATGTCACAGTAAATTTTGAGAGTTGTACAAACATTGCCATAAATTACAAGGGAGAACAAATGTGTGACTTGTCTTGTTGGTCCTCCTCACTCTCTCTCCCTTCCTGTTCACTCTTTAGTTCTACTTCTCTTTTTCTTTCTCCTTCTATTCTCTCTTCGGTCCTCCTCTTACTTCTCATCATCTCCCGTCTCTCTTCCCCTTACCTTTAGTCTCCTTATTTTTCCTCCTTTGTATATCCTAATAACACCTGATTATTCTTCCACATTACCTTATGGAAAAATAACCGGCTTAATTTTACTAGTAAGAACCTCGCAGGTGATAACAGATTTATATAACATTAATACTAAGAAAAATATATAAATTGGACAACATAAACATGAATTATATTGTAAGGTGGTAAACACTCGTTCGTGACCTGAATGCGGATTCTCAAAAACTCCGGCGTCTTTTCTACCGTAACTGTAAATTTGGGAACACATTTAAGTGGTTTATTTAAAATACGACTTAAAACTGGAGTCCAAAATGCCGTTGAAATTGCACAGAGAATCTTCCGTAAATGGATGCATTCTCGCAGCCGCAGTTTGAGAAGGAAAAAAGAAATAGCATCTGGGACTCCAAGGCCATGATCCCTTGAGTCGCGGGAAGCATTCATTTCAGCTGTGGAGACCAGGATTATGTAACTTTGTCGGTATATTTCATTGTGTTTTACCATATAAGCGACGCTATGTTGCCATCAGACCGCTACATTCAGCATCACCGTCATAACATCGCTACATTCACCCACATTCCTTACCATGTCGTGACCTCACAGACACTTAAACCAAAAAACAAAACAACATCACGCAACCTCATTATAATTTATTGTCACACAGAATAAAATCACACAGAGTCATGTGGCATTACAGAAACCAAGACTAACAATTCAAAACCGCATCACAGCGCTGTTATGACCTTCCACACAGCAACACAGCACCACGAACAAAGCACAGCAAAATATGACGGCTGACCTGACAGTCACCCTCCACCTATGTCATTATCACTCATCACCACAACACTCATTTACATTTCATTAATAAGGTCATTTTCCCGTTCCCTCCCCCCACCAACCTGGCCTGCACCTCCCCCCCCCCATCCCCACATCTACTGGGAGTCAATCACTGGGGTTGGTGTTCACAGTCACAGGTCTCTACAACACTCGGGACACACAGTAGTAAATTGAAAATCAGATGTTGAATACAAGAGTAGCTTCTGACGTTGCCACGTTATCTGATTCTCCCGCGTGCTATTTCCGTCTGTCTGTCTATCTGTCTGTCGCTGTCTGGGAGTCACTGTGACCTCAACAACGTACAGCACCCACCAGTAGCTACCATAACCTATAACCCCGAACCCACCCACCCCACAGCTCCTTAGTCTCCAGCCTCGTGCGATGACTATTTCTCATAACTTTACACAGCATCACTATTCTCCAAACCAACTGACTTTAGCGCCACACCAATAATAATGTATTAAACTAACATCTAAATGACACTGAGACTCTACCTTAACCAGATACGTCCACTTGGCATCAGTTAGGGAACAATATTGATGACGAGTTTCTTTGTAAAGGTCCTGTAAGTTGATTGGGTCTTAACTGGACATGAGTGAAGGTAGAGTATTTGTATCTAGGTCAACACACAAACACTTTATATAATTTCTAAGACAATCTGTACAAACTTGTTTGAGGGAAATTTTATTCTAAAGACAGATATACAGTCAGAGAGATAGACAGACTGATTGACAGATAAACAGACAGGAAGACAGAGAGGTAGGCATAGACACATAAGACTGACATAGACAAGCAGTTCTACAGACAGACAGACAAACAGGACAGATACAGACTGACACAGACAGACAGACGGAACATGCCTGGGTCTCGATGACTCCCTTGTATCCATGATGAAGGGTCCTGGGTGTAACTTCCCTCTCTGTGTTCCACCTCTGGTCGCTACGGAGGAACCTGCACTCTTCGTCATTATCATCGTCATCATCGTCGTCTTCTTCCAGAGGATCCCAGTCGTGGTGTGGTGTGGTGATGAGGACCTGTGGGGCATCGTACAGCAGGTCACCCATCATACACCAGTCGTTCTGGCAACAGGCGAACACCCTCGAACCCTTGTACCCGTAGCCTCGTTTCCCCGTCAGTAGAGCCATGAATTCCAGCCCCATGTTACTCGTCCCTTCCAGCACCTGCGGGACGGAGAGAGAAAGATATAAACGGTATTGGTGAGAAATTTAGACGGTACTGATCAGCGCCTCTGGGACGGGGGATACATGGATGTAAACAGTTCGTCTCTACTAACCTCCCGTGTTTATCCGTCTGCCAGTCTGTTTATCCCCCTGCCAATCTGTTTATCCGTCTGCCAATCTGTTTATCCGTCTGCCAATCTGTTTATCCGTCTGCCAGTCCGTCTGTTTACATCTGTCAGTCCGTTTGCATCTATCAGTCTGTTTACATCTGTCAGTCTGTTTATCCGCCTGCCAATCTGTTTATCCGTCTGCCAATCTGTTTATCCGCCTGTCAGTCTGTTTATCCGCCTGCCAGTCTGTTTATCCGCCTGCCAGTCTCTCCAATGCCTGAAAATTATTTCTTGGCGCACGTTAGGTAACCAAGGAGCTGGGAGGGAGGGAGGAGTCGAAGAGAAGGGGAAGGGAAGGAGGGGCTAATAGGGGGTGAAGGAGAAACCCGATAAGAATAAGCTGCGGGACAATGAGAGAAAAGAAATAAAACAATAAATCAAAGTTAAAAATAAGAGGAAAATATATTAGTAAAAGTATATATATATATATATATATATAGAGAGAGAGAGAGAGAGAGAGAGAGAGAGAGAGAGAGAGAGAGAGAGAGAGAGAGAGAGAGAGAGAATGAAAAAAATAAATTAATAAAAGTAAAAATGGCAATGGACATTAATTTGTAAAAGTAAAACTAAGTAAAAAAAGATTAACAAGACAAATTAATTAAACTAAAAATAAATAACCTAACATAACATTATCTAACCTAAGAAAAAATATAAATTACAAAATATATTAAAAATAAAAAAATACAACAAAATAAATACAATCTAAAGACTATAAACAGAATAAACAAAAACAATGAAAATAACACACACAAACAATACAACATACAAAAAAAGAAATATCTGAAATAAACCAACTAAAATCGTACAAGAAAAATAAAAGATCGACAACAATAATAATGAACAACAAAATCACAAAATATTAAAACAAATAATCGTAATAATAACCAGAACGTAAACACGAGCTAAAAAAATTAAATAAATCTGCCTCTTGCCTCCATTACAATTCTTCCCTGGGGCTGGTCTTGACAGGAGAAGTCAACAAAGAACTGCTCGCTGGAAGTGGCGGCGTCGGGGATGGAGCGGAGGGTTGGAAAACGTCTCTGTAGGTTGGGTGAGGGCTGAGGGCTACGGCCCAGACCCACCTGGACGATGATATCGGTCATGAAATTTGACAGCATCCTGTCTCTTCCTTACACTGCTGAAGAAACCAACACTGATTAATGTGCTTTATTTGTGTACTCTATTAGGGTTTTCAGCATGTGTGTGTGTGTGTTAGCCAGTGACAAAAAGCAAAAAAGTAACAAATTTCGAGTAATATTTGCGAAAAAGAGAGAGCACCTTTCCATTATGAGCTCTATTAACATTTAAGAACACTGGCCGTCCGAGAACACTAGTGTGATTGGCTGCAGGTAACGTATCATAATCCTCTTAACATGAATTCTGTTCGTTGCAGAGGAGGGCGTGACGGGCTGGTCTGGTGTGACGTGGGCTAATAACACGTCACCGGGGTACACGTCGGGCACGTCGTGGTTCACCGTGTTGGGCGTGTTCTTCCCTACAGTGACGGGTATCATGGCGGGCATCAATATGAGCGGTGACCTGAGGAACCCGGCCAGGGACATCCCCGTCGGTACCCTGTCTGCTCTTGGCCTCAGGTTCGTCACTGTCTGTATCAATGTGTCACTGTCTGTATCACTGTGTGTCACTGTCTGTATCACTGTGTGTCACTGTCTAACCTACACCAATGATATTTGATCATTTTCGTAATCCTCCAATTACCTATTTAACCACATAGAAGTCAAACCCAATGACTTGCTTTACTGATCTGCTTAGAACGTGTTTTTTCGCGCGAGGGAAACTTTATCTTAATATTCAAAGTGCAGCTTAAACACAGCCCAAAGACCATCTTCCTTCTTACACCGTTGGATCACGTCACCAGGAGACTCTTAATCTCTTCCTCCCCCAGCACGGTCCTCTACCTCGGGTTCGTGGTGGTGCTGGGCGCTACTGTAGAGCGTCACGTCCTGCTCACTGACTACATGATTACGGAGAAAGTGTCAGCTCTAGGTGAGTATATACTGGGTACTAGTATAAAGTATGCGAGTTTACCTCCGAATACTAGCATAACTGGCTTAACATTCCTGTAGGACAGTGTGGATACGATAAGGACACCTGTGTCAGATCACCTTGCCGATTACCGTGATTACTTGTTAGTTAAGAGGCTCCCTCGCAGGGTCTGATAAGTTAATTGACGAGGGATAATTTTTAGATGATAAGGCCGAAGGTGAGCACGCCTGCGACGCTTACTTAAAAAGAGAAATTATCAAGTTAAATATTGCTTCGTTTCTTTTCTTCCACAGTTACTAAGCATGTTTTACTCTAAAAAAAATTGTAAACTTCTACACAAAGTTGTATTTCCATTATTGTTTAAACAATATTATAAAATTCTTATTAATTCGTAAGTTTTCTATAAACTTTACGCGAATGTTTACACTTCAATCGTTTTGAAATTTATCCCGAGTGGCGTGAACTCGAATGCACTGGCTAGAGGGGGAACCACTAGTCAGACGGGAGAATCACAATTTTTTTTTTTTTTTTTTTATTATTTATTGGGCACCTCCCTACATCCTTGTTTAAGGTGAAGCGCAGAAGCGTTTACAGTGCCCAACAGGGAAGCATGCTAAGTTCATGCTTGCCTTATGTCTCATGAGTTAAGGGCGTAGAAGCCTGAAGAGTCAGTGGTTTATGTCATCAAGTTATTAGTTTTATCCTCTTCGCCACTGATCGGCCTGTTAGCCGCTAGGGCGATCGGTCACGTCTCTTTTCCTTTATATTCTTCACCAAAAGATCGGCTCGCTAGCCGCCCGGGCGATCGGTCACGTCTCTGTCACGCACTGTTGGCAAATACTGGGCATGCACCGGCTCCTGAATGTACCTGAACCCGCTCCAGTGTTGGTTATTGGAAGCACCAACAACTTGTCCCTGAATACGAATTCGCAACTTACAACAGGTACCTACTTTACTGCTAGGTGAACAGGGACTAATGGGGGCTAGGAAGTAAGACCAAACAACTTCCACCGGCCCGGGAATCGAACCCGTGACATCTCGCTTGCGAGGCAAGAACGGTACCGCTTCTACCACCGATCCCCCGGAGTATCACAATGCCATTAGTAAAAAGAAGCACCACTAGTCAGAGAGGATTACCACTAATAAGAGAAGGTGTCATTGTTAGAGGGAGTTGTCACTAGGCAGAGGGGAGTATCACTGGACAGTCAGAAGAGGTGCCATTAACCAAATAAGGCTGGATGCCACAAACCAGGTTGGGATAACACGGACAGGCGCGGCATCACATAAAATAGGGACATTACTACGCGGCCTATAGAAATACAATTCTTATCGTAGTTCAAAACGCTTTGAAAGCTATAAAGAATATTTAAGTTCAAATATGAATTATAATATGCTCGAATTTTCTTACGATACGAGAAAACCGTCTTTAGACTCACTGTGATCCAGGAGAAGTCGAGCTGAACACACCCCACAAGTAACTAGTTCACTCATCAGGGTTGGCGGATGTCAACAGCTCACAGAGCGGGTCACCAGTCCACTCTTCCTGTCACTTTATAGCTGTCATCTGGCACTTGTCATGTGAGATTTGTCACTTCGTAAGCCTTCTTCGGGTAAGATATGTTGCCGTATGTATATCAACTTGGGTTTTGAGTCTTGAAACCAATGTTTTAAATATAACAATAAGTAACAGGATGCAGTGTTGCCATCTTGTTTACTATTTGGAAATGTAATTTACTGCCTATTATTCAAATAAATTTTTTTTTTAGTTTGAGTGATATATCTTCACGGATTTGATAATGGGATCTTCGAGTGAGATATGCAAACAAACAGTTCTTGTTGATGCAGACGAGTGAATGAGGCAGTGACACCAGTGTGTTGAGATAAGCCAAGAGAGACAGGATGTGTTAGAGATAATTTACTCTCCACCAACGTGGCACTTTCCTGCCTAGACATTTTATAATGCGAGAAAAAGAGAGGGACTGTGGAGGTATGGGATGTTTGGGTTCACACTCAGGATGGGATGGAGAAAGGAAACTCACAATGTGCTCTCTGTATACATGTTGTATTGGATGTACAATGCAGCTTGGTGCTGGGAAGGCAGCATGGTTACAAGCGTGATGTAGAGAGAGCTGGTTGGTGAGGGTGCTCAGAGGAGGACAGCTTGTGGGTCTCCATGCTCGCCGGCGGGAGCGAGGACCGCCAGGCAGGCGGAGGAGGAGGTGTTGCTGGCTGGTTGGTGTAGGTAGAAAGAAGAGATCGATACGATACGAAGTCATTAGTTAAGAGGTGAAAGAAGATTATTAGGAATTGAAGAAAAAGAAGAGATCACCACGAGGTCAGGTCTTAAATAGCGTGGGTAGGCGTGGCTTAGTAGTTGACCCCCGCTCCGTGGGCGGCGTTGGTTGACCTAGACCACGAGGCACACACTGTGGAATTCGCGGGGTCGGCTATGCAGCGACAAACAGCGTTTGTAGGGGAGAAATCCACTACAGGACAACAAAAGGAAAGCGAGATGGAGAAGAGGAGGGGGAGTAAGCGACAGGAGAACAAGCGAGGGGAGATGTGTCGCCCTGGACGTTTTTTCCTAACTTAACCAAACAATAAGCCTAAATCGACCTGTACCAAAATTTACAATATTTACGTTTAGTTGAATAATACGTGCAGGAGATAATGATCGGTAATGTTGAATGGTGCTCAACCCCATTCAGAGCTTTCCATAACTTGCCCCTCATCCCACATTTTTTTTAAAAGGTACTTAGTACGTAAATAGATAAATAAAATCAATATATTGATTATATTTTATTATTGTATCTTTGTTAATCACACTATTCCAATATGTAAATGAGGTGTACATACATTATCTGCATCCCCTTGGTGGTTAGGTCAAACTTTCCTCATCATTGTTTTTCTTTGGCGTGTTCAAACAGTTGCCTAAAGATGACAAATAGCAGTTTACAGTATAACATTACTATTACTTTTACTTTTTTACTTTTTAAACTTTTATCCTCTTCGCCACTGATCGGCTCGCTAGCCGCCCGGGCGATCGGTCACGTCTCTGTCACGCACTGTTGGCACATACTGGGCATGCACCGGCTCCTGAATGTACCTGAACCCGCTTCAGTGTTGGTCAAGTCTTCTCTTGAAAGAGCTCACACTCGGTGCCGTCACAACACTCTCTGGTAGATTGTTCCAAGAGTTTACAACCCTAACTCCGAAAAAGTTTGCCCTCACGGTTTTCTGGACTTGCGGCTTCTTCAATCTTGAGCTGTGACCCCTTGTGGGGCGAGCGTCCGCCAGCTCCAAGTAAGGACACTCAACTGAGTAGTGCCCCCTGAGATGCTTATAAACCTCAACTAGGTCCCCCCTTGCCCGTCTGTAGTATAAGCTAGGCAAGTTCAGGCGCTCCAATCTCTCAGGGTAGCTGAGGTGCCGAAGTGCAGGCACCAGTTTGGTGGCCCTCCTTTGAACATTTTCAACCAACTGACAGTCCCTAGCATATCTCGGGGACCAGATGGGGTGACAGTACTCCAGATGGGGAAGCACTTCACTCCTGAAGATCGTCACGAGGGACGGACCGTCTAGATATCTGAACGACCTTCTTATAAGACCCAATAATTTATTTGCCTGATTTACCTTCTTCTCACAATGGCCCGAGAACTTCAGCTCATTGTCAACATACACACCTAGGTCCTTCTCACACACAGTCTCAACTAGTACATTTTCTTCATCCCGTTGGGACATATGGTACGCCTCCTTACCGTTGGTACGCCCCAGGTGCATCCTCTTACACTTCGTGACATTGAATCTCAGCAGCCATTCCTTCGACCATTCCTGGAGCCCACAGAGGTCCTTCTGCAGCTCTTCACAGTCCGCTTGGTTCTTAATTTCCCGAAATAACTTGGCGTCATCGGCAAACATTTGTATGGAGGAGTGTACAACGTCAGGCATATCATTTATGAAACAAACAAACAACAGCGGGCCCAATACACTACCCTGCGGTACCCCACTTGTTACAGGTACAGATGACGATTTCGTGCCATTAATCACCACACATTGCTTGCGGTCATGTAGAAAGTCTTCTATCCACGCTAGGACATTTCCCCGAATTCCGGCTCGTTAGCCGCTTAGGCGATCGGTCACGTCTCTGTTACGGACTGTTGGCAAGTACTGAATGATTATGTATCTGAACCTGCTCCAGTGCTGGTCAAATCTGGTCTTGAAACAGCTCACACTCGGTGCCGTCACAACTCTCACCCCAGAGGACATTACTCAGCAGAGTTCTTCGTCACCTAGGGGTTACAGTTTCAGGTTGAAGAGGCCACAGGTTCAGAAAATTGACAGGACAAACTTTTTTTTAATGAGTTGTAAATTCTTGTTACAATCTGCCAGAGAGCGTTATGGCAGCACTGAGTGTAAGCTCATTCAAGATCAGGTTACATTCAGGAGCCGGTGCATGCCCAGTATTTGCCAACAGTGCGTGACAGAGACGTGACCGATCGCCCCGGCGGCTAGCGAGCCGATCAGTGGCGAAGAGGATAAAAGTAAAGTAACACTGGCACAGGTACAGATACTTTCTGGAGCTAGTAAGTGTCCAGTACTTGCCAACAGTATGTGACAGACTACCCTGAAACGGCCACAACTGCTACTAAAGGTAAATACATGTACACTAATAATTCAAATGCATTTTAACCATCACACATTATTATTACAGAAATAAACCTTCCTCTAGCACCTCACCTCAGTCAGTGCAGGAGAATAACTGTGGTTGAAACATTTCCCTCCGGCAGGTGTATTGCTGCTGGCTGGGCTCTACACCACCACCTTGTCCTCCACTCTGGCCTCCCTGTATGGCTCCCCACGGGTCCTCCAGTCCATCGCTGCAGAGAACGTTGTCCCCATCCTGGCCTCACTGGCTAAAGGGGTATGGTCAGGTCTTATTGGATTAATGGAACTTGTAATATTATACTTGTTAGTATGCTTTCATGTAAAACTGAAATAGAGAAAAGAAACTGTCATCTTGAATTGCAGATAAACTTCAACTTATTTTCAGTAAAGTTTTTTCTGTGCCGTTGGTATCTGCAAAAACCGCAATACTGTACAGTAATTATGGTATTACTATAGCATGCAGTCCACAAGATAATTTGGTTAGGTTAGGTTAGATTAGGTTAAGTTAGGTCAGGTTAGGCAAGGTTAGGTTAGGTCAGGTCGGATAAGGTTAGATAAGTTAGGTTAGACTAAAGATATCTTTGTAAACTGTATAGTAACACCATAATTATATTATCAAGAAATCGCTATAATTGATACAATATAAAGAACGATGACATTGATCTCAAATGCTTCTCTTGTATGGAGTTTTTAGAAAAAAAAATGATTGTGAAATTTCTGAAAATAAATTACTGTACTGTACTATTGTTTGTGATATATGGTAGCGGTACAGTATATGGCATTGAGAAATCCAGCAACTGTCAAACTGCAGTGGGAAAATAAGAATGTACAGCTTATATAGCTAGGCTGTGTAGGACAGTATATAGTTAGTAGTGAAAGGGTTAACCAAACTAAGCCAAATATGATTAATTTCAACTTTCAGAAAGGGCCCAACAAAGTGCCGGTGTTGTCGCTGGTGGTGACGGTGATTATCACACTCATCTTCCTGTTTGTGGGCAGGATCAACACTCTGGCACCCATTGTCACCATGCCCTTCCTGGCCACATATGCAACAATTGACTATGCTTACTTTGCTCTTGCTATGACAGCTGACATACAAAGAGCACGAGAAGCAAGGTTCAGGTAAGGATGTGCGGGTTATGGGGCATAGGCAGTTTACGAACACAATTCTAATTTATTCATGTGATGATGTGATACTTTTTCACTTTACCAAATTCACGAAGCAATTAATAGAAAGATAAGTACTGTACTGTACTGATCTTTGTATTCCTTCATGTACTTGTGTTTAGTGAAATCCAGCAATATGTTCTTACTTTAACTAATTGCTTTTGTAACCTAATTTGTAATTCAGTAGGTGTGATCCCAGTGCTGACGTACCCGAACGGAGAAGTGATATAATTCTTATCTCAGCCAAACTAAAGAAGATCAAGGAAGCAGTTGATATTGAAGAGGTAAAAGTTACTTTTGATGTTACAGAGGTCAAACCTTTGGAACCCCGACCTTTGACTCGAGGGGTGCAGGAGGCACTAATGATTTGGACCACCTGTTTCCAGAGAGAATCACCCATAAGAAAGTCATTACGGTAAGTCCTGGTATTTGTACTGTACTGTGTTGATTCTGTGACTGACATCTTATCTCTATGTTAAATTCATAATACAGTACAGTAGTAGTAATAATAATACAGTACTGTATTATCACTGTATTAAAACTGTACATATACTATATACAGTATAGTAGTTTAATCTTTCCCCCATTATACAGTACTGGAGGATATGCAGAAATTAAGAACAAACACACACACACACACACACACACATATAAATTCTCCTTTAATTGTACGTATATTACTTTATTAATTATCACTATTATAATGTGCTCTATCATTGTGCTCTTCCTCTGCAACAAGGCTCCAAATACCTGTCTGGTTTATCCAAACTATTTCACATAACCTAAACATCACTCATTACCATAACTTTTTTCCCCAATAATTACTCATTGCCATGCAATGCATACTCAGATACATTACTGTTTCATGGCCTTACACACCTGCAACTTATGACAATAATAGATGACCTAACCATTTCCTGACAATGATTTCAAGTGTTATAACCACAGTACTAGAGAAACAAACACACATTTAATGGAACAAATGGCTTGGTAACCAGACTCATGAGACCTGGCAATGGCAACAAAATGTATCTACCCCAGTTGTACTTCTTCTTTCAGAATATCAATTATGTCAAAGTAGAGCAATGTGATTTGGTAGTAAACATTATACTGTACAGGTACTGTACTATACTGTACTACTGTAATGTGCTGCTTATGGAGATAAGCCTATGTGCTTGCCAGCTGTCAGGGATTAAATTCTCAAAGATTTTTAAGTTAAATGCTTCCTCAACTGTTGATGTGCACATATATCCAAAGTAGCATAAAGATTGCACAAAATTCTTTGGGGTAAAAAAATTATTTACAAATGTTTGGGAATCTAGAACTTTACCTCTCAGTACTGTATTTGTTTTGATAAGTGTTCTACATTCTCTCTCCTGCAGACAGCAGCCAGCTCAGGGACATCTAGCCTTGTGTCTTCTCCTGATGACCACTCAAGCATTAAGTCAGACACTGATCATTCGACAAAAGGTGAAACATGAATATAATATGGTGACCTTAGTTTTCATACGGGCCCCAGCTCTAACGGGGTTTCAGTGTTAACTGGTCCTAAACCTATAGGATATACAGGGTATTAGTTTAAGATAGGCATATTAGGACGAGGGCTCTTTTGACCATCACCCAAATGATATAGAAGGAAGTTGTCAGTGAAAAAAGAAATATATTAACAAAATAATTTTACTGTATTGATAAAAGCCACATGGGAATCGAGACAGAAAACGTTTAAGGAATGAACTTTGTAGAGAAAGAAATTTAAGTCAGAAAGAAGGAAAATGGAAGATTGATCGTGAAGACCCATTACCCTGTACTGTAAATAACCAAGAAATTGATAAACAACTCACTTGTTCACAACTGGCCAAGGTAACCCTCCATCTGAGGCCTAATCCAGAAGTTATCCCACTTTCCCAGCAACCATTGCCCTAAAAAAAATGATAACAATAATAATAAAATATAAAATTAATAAATAAACTAAAAAAAAAATAATATATTAGAAGCTATAGTATCCATGGACAACTTGGAGCCTGGTGAATCTTGAACTACACAGCTACTTAGCAATTAATAGCATGCCATTCTTTACACGATCCAGTCATAAAAAAATGCCTGCACTGTAGTGCTAACACCACATTTTTAGCTAACCTCCAGTGACATCCCAGGGACATGGATGAGATCTAACTCATTCTTTAGTTGCATATTTATGAGATACTTTTTGCAGGATCAAACCTTAATATATAACTTAAACCAATTTCAGACAAACTTATGGCCATCTATGGTTTGTGATAATCTTTTCCTTCACCTGATTTATGTTTTTTTTTTTTAGCAGAAGAAGAGAGTGTTGGTAGTGGTGTTACGACAGGTGAAGGGGTGACGCCTCACACAGGGGGTCCTGCAGGAATGATGGGTATCTCGAGCAAACCAGCCCATTGGTATTCTTATCTCTGTAACCGCTGGCTTTCCCTCCTTGGGGTGAGTTTTTCATCTTTTGGGAATTCTTTGAGCTCAGTGTTTAACATAATCATTTGGAACTGTTGTTACTCATTTCATCTGTACTGTATTGTATTACTGTACTGTACTTCTTTTTTAAACTTTTTTTTACCCATTGCATGGTACTGTGTCTGTATTTCATCTTGTAGCTTTTTCTACTCAATGTATCTTATAACACAAGTAATCCTGAACTGTACAGTGTCTCATATGTTTTGTGTATCGTAACTGATGACTTAACCCTTTAGGTGCATAATTAAATTTCGCGCCGGTTCCTGAAAAGTGTCAATTATCCTGCCAAAAATGAATTTCATATAATCACATTTTCTATATGTTTTTCCTAGAGAACTTTTAGTATATTTTCCAAATCTGGAACAAAAATTCACATATGTGTGCAAATTTTAGAGAAAAAATGACATTTATACCCAAAAATGCAGGAAATTGGTATAAATCAATGTCTGGTATATGGCAAATATATTTAATCAATTTGGTTACTAAACAGCAAATTTAGATATGTATTACATATTCAGATAATATCAAACAAAATAGTACAAAAATAAGCTATATTGCATTCAGGAAATACTTCTATACCTCAATACATAATATGTCCGCATGTCGTCTCATTTGGGGAAGTTTTTTCAAGGCCGTGGGATATCCCCGCTTGTCGCATTTAATTAATATAATATTTTGGGCGGGTTTACCCGCATGCCGCATCCAAAGGGTTAAGTTGTTGGGTCTCATGTTATTATTTAGTCTGATGTATGAATAGGATAGGTTCAATTTGCTGTGATTATTCTGAACATTGACAGATCCATTCAAATTAAACTTGTATGTCAATTTTGTTAAATTCTTTGAGGGCTAAAAATCTGCTGTATAGAATACAATATTCCTCACCACTATTCCATTAAATCCTAACCTGTAAAGGAACTATTGTTAAAAATGACAAATTGGGGTGAAGCTGCATAGAATAATACAAGCCATAATAAACAGACTGGCATAAAGTGATACCAGCCATGAATTACAGGTTGGTGTGAAGTTGGCGATGATGCTGTGTGTCCACTGGGCGTATGGTCTCATCACACTGTTGACAACACTGCTAATATACATATATATTGGTCAGGCAGCACCCGGCGGTCCTCCTGGTATTGCCACAGAGTTCGTCTTCCTTCGTTGGCTCAAAAACAAGTTTCTGAGATGCATTGGGTACGAGGAACTATAGAGTGTTCTTATGTACTGTATTACATAGACTTAAGTACCAGTAATATCTCCGTTACCCGGAATCCCTCTTGACCAGAACTCTCCAATAGCTGGTATTGGCTGCCTTGCTACAAACTGACCTGAGGCCTCAGGTGCAGAGTTCAAGTGAACAGATTATAACATCAGAGATATCCTAAGACAAATGTTTAGAAATTTTACTGAAGATAGAAAAATTAAATTCTGTACTGTATTCTTTATCATCATAACATCACTTTAAATTGTAACTATTTTCTCATTTAACCATGAACAGGCAGCAGTCAGCAGAGTACGACCAAGTGGTGGTCACTCCTCTGCACCCAGGTGTTGAAGTTACTGCTAACCAACTGACGGAAGAAAATGAAGACTTTGCTGCTCGTTCACGCTACCACCAATCAACACCAGGCCAGGCACTTCCTGATCTACCTGAGCCTCGTTGATTTGACCCTCACACCTAAATCTGGTACATGACTTAGTGAATTATAATAATCAATTATAAGGCCCAAGGATAATACCAATTCATTTACAGTACAGAACTATACTGTGCTTTTTACAGCATGTTTTGGCTATACAGTACAGTATACCTGAAGTATGGACACATCATCTTGTTAAGTCTCAGGGCAGTGAAGGGCATTAAAGGCATATCCAAATATTGCTATTGTCAGATTTTTGGAGTTAATATTTTGTTTTCTCCACAAGCCATATTCTGCCATGATGCAGGTGCTGGTCTCTTAACATTCAGCATCTTAATACATGTACTGTATTTAGATTAGATTTTTTAAGTGTTGTAAATTTTGAAGGATGGATATCATACCAAAGTACTACAGTACACTGGGGAATATCTATATTTAAGGCCAATATCCAAGAAAAGATTTTCTAAGACATGAAGTCTGAATGTCACCAGAAATAAGACAATGAATTCCTGATTTTATTGTGGATAAAATTTTATTAACACTATTGAAGGCATACAGTTACCCAGAATATATCTAGAAAGATTTAATTTGACCAAAGAATTAATGGTTAATTGAAACACCACTAATATACAGTACGCACTCTCAAGTTTACTAAATTATTGGCAATCTCATACGGTATCTGTGATTACACTTAACATCAATATTGTGCTGACATCACTTGGCACACTAGTTAAAGTACAGGTACTTGCCAACAGTGCGTAACAGAGACGTGACCGATCGCCCAAGCGGCTAGCGAGCCGATCAGTGGTGAAGAGGATAAAAGTAAGTAAAAATGAGATATAGACTATTTGTGTAGACTGAATCACTCATCACATCTTCAGGGTGTGTACCACATTTCCCTCACATGGTGCTTCATAAAGATTTACTGGTACTCTATTAAACTATGATTAGACAGTAAAATCTATTTTTGGTATTAGGAGCAGAGAGATTTAACATAGCGTTGCCTCACTGAAGTGTTCTTTGTACCTTATTTAATTATTCAGGTTTCTACAATTTTTTTTTGTCGTCCATTACATTCAACATTTGGTCATTAGCTAGGAGAGGTGATTAGTGTGTACAGTATGAGCCCCTGGCTTAATGGGCAGCAGTTAAAGGTAAAGGAAATTCTTGTAAGTCAGACAGTCTGTCAAAAACATTCATAAAGGTTATACAGCAGCAAAAATTCAATACTGTACTGTATAGTGACGCATCAAGCTGGGTCTAGAATTACCGGGTACGTAGTCTATAAAATACACTACACATATGGCCTGAAACTGCAAAAACGTACTGTCCCCCAAGTTTAAAATATTTGTGACCATCTCAACCCACCTTCGGTAAACAATGATATACTGTAGTTTGTTTGACAGTCATTATAGGGTGTAGGCTATGGGTTTTCACATACCATCTTTCGACCTAATTTTGGTTCATGTTTGTTACTGTCATGTGTCAGTGATGTGGAATTTGATCTGCAATGTATCTGATAGTCATTACAGTATTAATAAATTTGTGACTTATGTTACATGATTTCTGAACAAAGGTTCTCCACTTTTATGTTCAGGTCTTTATCACTTTGTATAACATGAATTAGCACCATGAGTGGGCTACTGGCTTTACAGCTAATACTGGTGTTTATCCAGTCATCTTTGGTATGGAATGAATAATTTAGTTAGCCCCTTGTGTACTGGGCCATGAATGAGTCAAAATGATATCTATTTTTTTCCTATTTTTATTTTAATATATTTATGGTGAGCATTCGTTTCATTCAACATTTAGTCATTATTACAGTATTGATTTTTTGTCTTTTTTTATTTAGTTTGGTTAGTTTCACATGATCAGTCCCAGGAACACAGCCTCCATTGTAGCAATATGTCTGGGAAAATTGCTTTCACTACATAAGTTTTTGCTTTATGCACAACTTTAACGGAATGGATTCCTTTCGTTTAGTGATAACTGCCCGTACAACGACTGTGAACACATCTACTCCTCGACTTATGACCACCCGGACATACGACTGCCCTAGTCGTACCAAAATTTGTTCAAATTACGTATTTTCGAGTCCCTACATTAGTGATTGTGCTGTGTACTGACAAAATTTTCGTTTGTAATTCCCTTTAAAATGGCTGGCAAGCTTACAAGTGAGAGTTTTGTGGTGATGAGAAGAAAAAGAGACACTCATTTTAGATTTTCTATGTATTATTTTTACATTTTCGACTTACGACCTGGATTTGGGTCCCTAACCCTGTCGTAAGTCGAGGAGTGGCTGTATTCTCTTTTAAAATTGTATGGACGATCATGTGTATACAGTAATTATAATGCAAACCATATATGAATGGTGTCCTTAGTTATTGATTATTAACTTATTTCATGATCTTAGTATGAATGTTATGGACATTTTTAGTTATATGCCATAGTATAGCTGTACTGTACTTGCCTGTACAGTACAAATTTATTTTTTATGGAAAATGCTTTAAATTTAACTTTCAAATGCACCAGTGTGTTGGTAAATATAAATCATTTAAGAACAACAACAAGGTAAAGTCTTGATACAGTGTTAATTTTGTATAAAATGTTGGTGGTGTTAATTTGGTGTTACATATACTGTACCATTGTGGATCCAGCACTTGCCTTCTATCCTAATGGTTGCTGGTTTAAGCCTGAGGCAGCACCAGTTGACCTGACTATAGTTGGGGAAGTGAAGGCAGTTGAGTACTGCACTGTACAGTGCTGGCTATATTGCCTTCTTGTGTGCTGAGACTTATTCTTCAGTGTGCTGTATCCACACAACCCCTAAAGGCTGACAGGCACATGGAACTCACTCACTGTCATGTGTACCAGTGGGTGAATGGTTTTGATCATTGACTCCCCGGCTACATCTGTCACTATGGACCCACCATTTGTCAACACAATAACAATAGCCTGTTCTTATAACTTTGTAACTCAAATTGGCTCTTTTAATAACATTTGTAGTAAAAACACAAAAATCTACTTATCATAAAAAAAAATTTAATTGCATATTTTACAAAATTAAATATTAAGATTGTTGACAGTAAAATAAGGGTTATAATGGGTGTTTAACAAGTTTGTTGGAAGCAATGTTCCTTAAGAATGTACAGTATAGTAGATGGATTTGCTGTATCAATAGCATAAATATTCGTAAATAGACAGTGATCACCAAACACAACAGCTTTCAATGAGGTCACAATCACTGATATACAAAAATCAAATCATGTATACTGTTTACATTGTTTTCCCTAAAATCCTTGAGGCAGGTAAGAGTTAGCTTATCCTGAGCCATGGTTTGATGGACTATGGTACCACTGTGGCAAAGAAAAATCTTCAACACAAAACTGTTACAACTAAGACTGTTAGATGAAATCTTTGATTGAATTGTCTTGTTTGGTGTCCGTCCAATCAACCATAGTAAAAAAAAAAATTTAATGAAATTTTATTAAGAAATAATTTGGTTTGGTTAAATATTGTGAAAGGTAAAGAAAAAAATTTGGTCTGATGTATTTTCATGAGCAAATAGCGATTCATGAGATAGATCTCACTGATTCATGAAGCATGTCGAGCACAGGTGCCGGGTATAATTTACAGTATGTTGTTGAGTGGAATTATCAAGAAAAAATTCAAAATTTTCTTGAGTCCTAACATGCCCAGTTTTGCCAACAGTGGGTGACAAAGACGTGACCGATCGCCCGGGCGGCTAGCGAGCCGATCTTTTGGTGAAGAAGATAAATGTAAAGGAAAAGTAATCAGAGACGTAACCGATCACCCGGGCAGCTAGCGAGCCGATCAGTGGCGAAGAGGATAAAAGTAAAAAGTAATATGGAGTCGGATTATAGCTAAACCTTCTCAAGAATACTGTAGTCTAAAAACATTTGTGTGGTCATTCTTGAGGGGTCCCCAGGCTAAAATACTAAATTCAAATATCCGCCAAGAAAATCAGCTCCAAATACCGTACATGTGAACTTAGATTTATGCCGTATCTCTTTGCTACCGTATATAATTTTTTCTGTATTCCAACAAGCTAAAATTTTAAACTGTTTACTGCTATAAAACTCGTATAGCTATTGTACAGTTTCACTCATTTGGTACGAAATTTGTTTCACTAATAAACACTATTAGGTGATTTAAAAGAGTAAATCAAAGAGAAGGTGTAACACCAGACAGAGGAGTTTTGGAGTTCTCTTCCCTCCCTAAAAGTTACATTTGATTCATAGAAGGGCTAGATGTACACTGTGCAATATTAAAGAAGACTTTATAAACATTATTTACGTTTTCATAAAGAGAAAACACTGCTCAAAACATTGATAAGCTCCTACTATAGTACTGTACTGGTGAATGTTAGGAGAAGTTTAGATAATATATACTGTAATCACCACCAACTGCTTTCATCTCAGAAAAGCTCAAATATCAAAACTGTGCTGCCTATGTTGTACAGTACTATATACTGTACAGTGTTATGGTTCAAGTGAGAAAGGGACAGGCTCGACTATGGAATATACAGTACATAGATAATTTATTCAGGAGAAATTTCGGTATCAGCACATACAAGTAGCATAACTTTTGTAACATATTTACTGTATAACCTTATGCCGTAGACTGAAGGACTGAAGTATTTATTAATTCTAGCACACTTTATCTGTATGGAAGGAAGAACAAGACAAAGTGCTAAAGTAAACAAATCTTTTATGAATCAGAAAAGTGGATTGTTTATCATGCTCTTACACATGTAAACAGGTGTATGCATTTATGTACAGTAAGGTTTTATCAGTACAAAAAATGTGAGTTACAATTACAAACTTCTGAGTGCTTGGAAAGATTCACAGTACTGTACAATATTGCGAACATAAAATTGGACATCAAACCCACATTAATGCTTTAATATAAGTTTCTGTCTTATAGTGTGGGTTTGATTTCCAAATTTCTGGGTGATTAGCGTTCATTGTTCAGTTTACGAATATTTCCACTATTTAGTACAGTATGTGTTAAAATACAAACCTCTCTGTGTGGTACTACTGCCTGTCATATATCTTGGTGTATAAATACTTAACAGATGTGTAACTTGTAATATTAAGAATATATATATATATATATATATATATATATATATATATATATATATATATATATATATATATATATATATATATATATATATATATATATATATATACAGCTACTCCTCGACTTACGACCTACTCGACTTACGACCACCTGAACATACGACCGCCTCAGTCGTACCAAAATTTTGTCAAATTACGTATTTTCGAGTCCCGATGTTAGTGATTGCACTGTGTACTGACAAAAAAAAATTTTGTAATTCACTTTAAAATGGCTGGCAAGCTTAAAAGTCAGAGTTTTGTGGTGCTGAGAAGGAAAAGAGACACCCATTTTAGATTTTCTATGAATTATTTAAGCATTTTCAACTTACGACCTGGATTTGGGTCCCTAACCCCGTTGTAAGTCGAGGAGCAGCTGTATATATATATATATATATATATATATAGTATATATATATATATATATAGTACTGTATATATAAATATTGTATCTATGAATATACAGTATATACTATATGTCATTTACATACACTGTACTTAATTATTTTATTGGTACGTATTCTTATGGAGATCCAGATGTGTATGATATCTAATAAATATTTTTATAAAGATTCTCATTTTTTCATTCACATTAAAAAGTTCTAAATAGTTTTTGAACCATAAAACCATTTAAGGTACTGTACAGTCCCTCCAAAAAGTGTCGTTACTTTTTTGCTTTAAATTATGAAACGCTGAACAAAAAGCTTTGACGAATGGCTGCTAAGATTCAATGTCAGGCATATTACATGTCCCAACGGGACAAAGAAACTGTATTAATAGAGACCGAATGTGAAGTTCTTGGGCCATTGTGAGAAGAAGGTGAATCAAGCAACTGAATTACCGTAATAAATCTTATAAGAAGGTCGTTCAGATATCTATATGGTCAGTCCTTCGTAATGATCTTCAACAGTGAGGTGCTTCCTCGTCTGGAGTACTCTCACCCCATCTGGTCCTCGAGATAAGCTAGGGACTATCAGTTGATTTAAAATGTCCAAAGGAGGGCCACCAGATTGGTGCCTGCAATATGGCACCTCAGTTATACAGATAGATTAGAGTGCCTGCAATTGCCTAGCTTATACTACAGACGGGCAAGGGGTGACCTAATTGGGGCGTTTATGCATCTCAGAGGGCACTAGTCAGTCGAGTGTCCATACCTACAGCTGGCGGATGCCCACCAACCAAGGGGTCACAGATCAAGGTTGAAGAAACCACAGGTCCAGAAAACTGAGGGTAAACTTTTTCGGAGTGAGAATTGTGAACTCTTAGAACAAAATGCCAGAAAGCGTTGTGGCGGCACCGTGTGAGCTCTTAAAAGACCAGACAACCAACACTGGAGCAGTTACAGATACATTCAGGAGCTGGTGCATGCCCAGTAGTACTTGTCAACAGTACTTAACAGAGATGACTGACCGCCCAAGTGGCTAATGAGCCGATCAGTGGCGAAGAGGATAAAAGTATAATGTAAAAGATATACAGTATTCTCCAGGGTATCGATCTGCTCAACAGTATCCAAATGCACACAACGTATGTATCTATATAATATCTGCAGAAGTAAAACTTAAATTACTGATCATTTTTAAATTCAGCCTGAATTTGTGCACGTTTACATATATTTTGTGGCACTGTGCAGGTACTCTTTTATCTAGTAAACTTCTGAATATGACTGTTAGAGCAGCACTTAGTTGGTCAGCCAACTCTTTTAGTGATCTTGGATGAACTTTGTCAACTTATTCTTGACCTCTTCTTCTCTCCCCCTCCTCCCCTGCCGCCCAACACACCCTAGCCGCCGTTGCCGGGCTAGAACAAACTGATGACATCCGTGTCAAGTTTCTTTGGATCCCGTCACATATAGGAATAACTGCCTGTGACACTGTTGATCGGCTTGCCAAAGAAGCTACACAAGAAGAAGATATTGAAGCCACTCTCGCCCTCTCCCTGAATCATCTCAAATCTCACATACACGCCACACAACGAGAGGCATTCAACG